AAATATCTATCAATTTTTTATAGTTCTGTATATATATTTTTTACATTTTCGTTAAATTTTTATTATGTATTATTCTTCGTTAAAATTTGGATTGATAAAATAATCGTTGCTATTATAAAGTTGCGATAGATTATATATTATAGTATTTATTTTGAAGCTGTAATTATTTATATGTCGCAATAAATCAAATTAATGCGACACCACTGACATTCATAATTGTTGCACAATTGTTGGCTGCGCAACCGTCGTTGTTACCGATTCTCGGTTCTAATATGACCGCGTGAAACTTTATCTATGCACCGAAAACACTCAACCTTTGAAATTCCATCCGGGTCTCCCTCCTATGTTAAATTAAATTTATTCCATCTATATAAATTTGATCCGTTTCTTTTTTTATTCTTATAATTAAATTAAATTAATTCTTGCAATTAAATGTTTTAACATTTTTATTGAGGAATGGCATTTCTGACATGTGTGTCACGATGAATCAATAAAAGGACCTAATGTCTTCATCGCCCTTTCTACTCTTGTGCATGCAATACCATAGAAATTTCGCGTAACCGCCTTGGAAATTGGCTCGCACCGCGAACGTTTACGTCGCGAATTAATTACGCCCGGGATGTTAGCGGGGGACGGGGGGGGGAGTACCGCTAAAAACGACGTGCGTTCCAAGAATACGTCGCAAATTCTGGAGGAATTAATATTCAAGACTGAATCGCGCTTCTCTCGTTGCAGAAACGATAAGCGAGCCGGCGACGGACGCGCAAAAACCACCGTCGCCGCAGCAAACGTCTCAGCAACAGCAACAACAGCAGCAGCAGCAACAGCAGCAACAACCGCCCGGCGGTACCGTGGCTGCTGGCACCGGGGGTGGCGACAGCACCCCCGCGGCAACACCCACGTCCGCCGGTAACGTGCAGCAATCCCAGCAATCCCAGCAAGCGGTACCATCGGCCACGCCAACCCCGACGACTGCCAACCCGCATTCTACTGCAGGACCGCCCAGCAGCAATCAACCATCGCCCCATCCCTCGCCCCTCTACCCCGTGATGCCACAGCAGGCCGGCCAGCCCAACGGCAGCACGCAAGGTAAGCCGGGTTTGCAAGTTTCCTGTCTTGATGTTAGTCGCCCCTTGTCGTTGCGCGACTATAACGCGAGTTTGCATGGTTCCGGCACTGGCGATCGTCATGGGGGTGTGAATTTATGCGCGTGGACTGGAGAAACTCGAATGAAAACGACAGAAAAATCGACCAGCTATCGTTCCTCGAATTTCGTGACTCCTGATTTTTGTCATAGCACTTCAGTTCCTTATTTACTTATTTTCTCAAATTGTTAAATCGATAACGCAGGGGAATATTGTTTCGATACGAGCCTTGGTCTCTTTCTTCTCCATCGACAGGAATATGTAATTTGCTTGGTAAAAATGAGGAGTGCTAAGAATAAAATGTCGCTGGGGATATATGCGAGGCGACTGTACACGAGATGACGTAAACGATTTTCGATTGTGCTATTTGGGAGGGTTAGATTCTATCGTGCGACAGACAAGCCAATTTGGGTAGATGCACGTGGGAATTGCCGTATATCGACATTGCTTTCGCACGCAAACGGAGCAAATAAATCATACTATTTCCGTTTCATCTCGTTTTTGTTACGTAATAGAAATCGCGTATTTTGATCGTGGTGTCTTACATATGAATTCGCGTAATATCACTCGTGGAACGAAATCTACGTATCGACAGATACGCCCATCTCAACCTGCGTCAATTGATCTACGAATAAACAATGATATACGAAGACATTTATTGAGGAAATTCAATTTTAGTTTTCATAACTTCCCACTCTCTTCGAGTATTTTGCTTCAAACTTAGGCTTTTAATATAATATTCGTAATATGCGTTTTTCAACAGAAATTTCTGAGTTCTTATCGATGCGTTTTTAATACTCTCGGCTAATACAGATAATAAATTATAGACGACAGGAGAAAAATATTACTCCCCTTTGAAAAAAGCCTTATAGCTTGTCGCATAATGAGCTCTTATCGCGGTAAGCGCTTAAAACACAACTGTGTATGCATAAGCGACGACCTAATTACAAGACGTTACGTACGGAAGTAACATTAATAGGTTACCAAGTATAATCGTGGTGCATCGTGCTATGACGACTAAATTTCTCGTAAAGTCCGCGCCCTTACCCTTTTGCTGATATCTTGCCTTGCAGGAATTGATTAAAATTATAAATTTAAGATAATACTGATACCAAGTAGATGATATAATGCGTCCTATAATTTTTTGAATATCTTTTACTTAGTAGTAACAATGTAAGAATCGTAGGGATCTTAAGAAGAATCTTAAGGAAATTTTACAGTAATCTTATACAGTGTATAATAATGTTATATTAATAAATTTGTGATTTACCCTCTGTCTTTGAAAAATAAATAACAGATTTTTTTTTTAAAAAGTCTCACAGTTGAATCTTCAGAGGGAGTTAATAATTTTTTTCTATATTTTATCTTTTAGGATTCAATTTCTTTTATGAAGCTTATGATATCACGTTTACTATTATTATTTAATAATTCACGGAACAAAATATGGATTATGACCTGGATTTTGCACATTTTCGTAAAGTCGCACATCCGACTATTTTTAAAGTAAATTGGCTGACACTCTGCGGAATAAATAATGATACGTGGATTTAAAATAGAAGAAACCAATACGATAATACGATATCTCTTAATTCGATAGCGTTCGTAATATAGAATTTGCTTATTGTTCTAAATTTTCGTAAAATTATATTTTGGGATAAAATCTAATTTTTTGTCAATTAACGGTATTTGTTTAAAATTTTAAAGTTTGCTAAAAAATTATATATATTATTTTGATAAAATATAAATATGGAATTATTAAAAACAATCAGTTATCATAATTATTTAATAAATTTTTATTTTAACTAAAAATATAATTTATTACATAAATATTATGTATCTATTTTTTTCCACATTTTAATTTGGAGAAGGGATATAAAATAAATTAGATTTTCGCAAACAATCCAATTCCTTATAACGCCACATAGTTGATGTATTGTTTGAACACAAAGTTATCAGGTTTCTCCATTGGTCTAAACTGAAACCGTAAAAAGTACGTTATTAGTAATACGATATTACGAAGTTTTCGCGGCTATTTCTAACTATAGACTTTGCAGAAGTCCGAATTTTCAGATCTTAACATGATCAAAAGCTGACATTGACTCTTTATCGTAAAAAATATAAATTTTGAATGATTTTATAAAAATGTACATCCCAATTTGTACATAGATATTTATTGACAATTTTAATAGAGTTATCTATCACGATTTAAACAATTTAATTTCTCTATATTAGCAATTTCTTAACATAATAAAATTTTTTTACTAAAATTATTAAAGTTATTAATTATCAGCATAATGCTAATTATTTACTTATTAGCGTCTTTTTTGAGGAAATATAATTTTTTATTTATCTTATGTAGGAGTGAAATTAAATAAAATCAATAAAGTTTTTAAAAAGAATTTTAGATTTTATATATAATAAACTTGATTAATGAAAAGAGATTCTCTATGATACATTTAAATTACAGCTCGTATATTTGTTAACTCTTGCACGTATATGCTTGCAAAACACGATGTTTTGAAAAGTTTATTATTATTATTATTATTCAGATTTGTAACGTAATACCCACTAGAGAAATACGATAATAATTTCATGCTTCTTTACACACGGCGCGATGTTTTTATTCGACGCAGGGGTACCGTAGGAAAATACATTTTTGTATCTCTTCTGTATTCAAGCTTCCTATCTTTTTCTCCGCGACCGCCGGCGCGGCGCACTATTTCCTGTGATGACTTACCTACTTCAAAGGGAAGTGCGAAACCATGCTTTCAAAGATATTTTTCTGCAGCGGGGGTAATATTTCAGTGGTACTGGCGCGGGCGCGCCATCGGGCGTATATTTCTCGCGCGCGAAAAATCAACGACGTCGCGACGCGCCGCGTTTCTAACCACGATGTGCTTGCGAACCGGTATTAAGACCGGTGCAATAAGCTTCTAGCACCTGTTACCGGTGACAAGTTGTTCCGTGGCCAGAGTTAAGGGCCAGCTGTCTCGACGGCGGATCGTTAATTCGAGGGGAGCATGGGGAGAGAGAGCGCGAAACGGCGCGAAATCAATGCCGACTCGTTACTTCGTTTTACGAGATGTTCTAATCTAAACTTTAACGATCCTTTTCTTTTTCCTTCCTCAAAAAGCCGATTTTTCTTCGTCCAACTATTCGTTCTTATCGTTCGTATGCGTTAAATATGTTTATATTGATGATCAAGTATTTACTGCGAAACTGACAAATTTTTCATTTCAACAAATTCTTATATATTCTTGTATAATGAAAACATTGAAAATATTTTTTTAAATTTAAAAACATAATTTTAACATTTTCTATCGCTGTCAATATGATTTCTGGAACATGAAATAAAAAAGATGTAATTTTTATATTAAATTTTTATATTAATTTATATTAAATTAAATTTTATATTAATTTATATTTATATCAAGCTTAATTAAATTTTTATATTAATTTATTTTAAATATGAAATGCAGAAAAAATGCAGAATTATATTTATATGCGTAATTTTATGTACAAATTAAATATACAAATTAAATATTAAACGTAAACGATTTGTTATTTTTATATACAGACTCGGATGAGGGATAAAAGTGCTAGCTGATAGTCTTCGATTCCTATTCACGTTCATTGCACGTTCACATTCCCATTAAATCCTTTACCTGATGACTTATAGATCCTTGAAGGATATAACCCTCAAAGGATCGGGATTAGGGACGGTCGTATGTAATACACCCGTGTATCATGCACGCTCGATAATGTATCGAGGGATTTACCGGGAACGCTGAATAATGACGGATCCGCGGAATTAATGTTCGGCGGATGGTCCCCTCATCTCATACTGTTTGCACGTTGTTCAAGTAGTTTTCTTGGCTTAACCGTACGCGTGTGTCGGCCCGTGTAAATATTATCGATCGAAGTTTATCCTCGTTGCGCAGATTTATTGAACGAAAGGCGAAAAACCGTGAGAAAGATAAATCCGCAATAATTCTCACGAAATTGACCTCGTTTTCGCGCGATGTTTTATTCACGGCAATGAACTCCGAGCTATGACAGAAATATAAACGGAAAGATTCTTTGTAAGTCTTTCGCATGCGTTTCGATTTGATTTTCGATATTTCTTTGTTTGCGTTTCAACACTTGCTCTCCGAACTCTTTAACAAATATTTATTTTGACAAATAATTGACACTCCTCTCCCGTCTCTTGTACCACAAATTCTTGCATATTGTGCATGGAAGATTTTTCTTTCTTCTGTTTCGTGCTAATCGAATTAAATATTTCCGAATCACACGATTTGCGAGCGAGGAGGGAGCCTCGAGCAAAATTCGTGACGCAACATCAAAAAGCTTTTGCAAACACGACGTCTGCTTCCGGCGACGGTGTCGTGCTAGATTTTTTTGGAATTTTCTTCGTCACTAAACACTGGAAGACGCTGGGAGGGTGCGCTAGGGTGCGAAAGGGTGCGAATTACGCGTTCGTGATAAAGGCGACGAACGAAAGGCGAGCAAACAAAGAGCGAAGCGTGTACACGAACGGCCGCTCGGTATTACGCGCTGTTTCTCGTTTGTCTCGCAAAAAGCATAGACGCAAACGGCGATCGATATGTCTCCGCGAATATCACGACGAGAGCCTATGAACCCTCGTTTCTCGTTCCGTTCCCTCTTTGAAGCCGTCTGTGCCTCGTCGAAAGGATTCAAATTGGCGACGAAGCCACGAATCACTAATCGCCATAATCACGTTCTCACACTCTGTCTAGACAAAACTTATTCCGTTGTCTGACAACACGAGTCTACTCATATGATATCCTTGATATCCCAACAGAGCCATTTGAACGTTTTATTAATTGCCTTTATGTAAATAAATCATTCACAATTCACAAATCAATCACAATTGTTACATACGATTGGAATACGATGGAATACGATTGGAAGACGATGTAG